TTTGTAAGTTATATATGAGATACACTTCAAGTCTTCAACACTTAAAGCCTAATTAAAAATAAATGATGTAAAAAAGTTGTAATAACTTAAATAATTTCTTCAAGCCAACCAATTATCCATAATTTCCGATCCAAGATAGGATAGAAAAAATATTTTTTTATGTAAGAATACGAGGAATATCCCTTGGCCTCTAGCATCAACACCGTGAACAGAAATCGATTTATTTATTTTTGGTTCCTTAAGGCATCTCCAATCTCACTCCATATCTTACACCAAACTCTATTTTAGAGTAAAATTATTTTCAACCCCATTTTATTTTCAACTCCAAAATGGAGTAAACCCATTTTTTTCCTCCATATTTGGAATAATCTCATTCTTTCCTTCATATTTGGAATAATCTCATTCTCCATTCCATTTTGGAGTTGAACTTTTTGATGTATAAAATGATCCTTTAAGTTTTCAATAATTTCATTTTAAGAAGTAAATAATTATTTTGGTGATGATTTTCTATTTGTTTGATATTCTTTTTAATTAAAGTTTTACGAGTTTATCAAATCACAAGAATTTGCAACAAAATAATTATATTAAATTATAATGTGTGAAATTATAATGTATATGTAAGTTTTTTTTATTAAAAATGTGTAAGTATATCTAAATTAATAGAGAAATTTTTAAAAATGCTATTTTTCAAGTGCCACTTTTCAAAAATGCCACTTTTTCAAAATCTTTGCAAAAATGCCACTTTTTTTTTAAAAAAATTTCATTATATCATTTATGTTTGAGTTAATTATGTTTTATTAGGGTTAAGTTTTGAGGGGTTTAGAGGTCAAAATATTTTTTAGGGTTTATAATTTTAAGATTTAGGCTTTAAAAATCCTAATTAGTGGTATTTTTGCAAATGAACACTCCTAAGTGGCATTCTTGCAAATGTATACATCAATAGTGACATTTTTGCAATTGTTTCAAATTAATATATGTTATTACGACTTTAATTCCTTAAAAGTGCATATTTTAAAATTAATATGTATGTATATGTAAGTTAATATAACAAAACGTAATGTTACGACTTTGATTATAAAATAATTAAAATTAATAGGGTCAATTTGTAAATTTTATAAATAAAATATATTATTAGTAATCATTAATAAATAAAAAAAAGAAAATACACTTAAAACATTCTTTTTGGAATGAAAAATAGAATAATATATTAGAGATGCTTGAGTCCTCGAGTTCAGTGCATTTATTTTAGTATTGATTTATACACTATAAAAGGAATTATATGGATAACAAAAACAAACATTAAGAACATTAAAAAATTGTACATCATAGATAAGATAACATATGAAGATTATCCTGAGGTTCACATTGCTTGTACAATCACCTTAAGACACGGAAATTACAAAACTGATGGATGCAATTAACCATACATTGTACAACATTAATTTAATTTCTACTTTATCAGCAACAAATTAATATGGGAACATGTTTAGGATATTTGGTCACATACAAAGACATTAAATTGATTATTGATCGTTAAAATCTAATGTACGAAGAGCGTGTTGAATTATTTGAAGAAGTTTGGTGTTATACCTTTAAACTCTCTAATGGCGAAAGGGATGGCTTCGTGGCAATATTCTCTCAGATATTCTTTACCTAATTCATACGTGATACTTATGCTTTACCTAACTCACACTCACCAGTTATTCATATTCTTTATTTTACAACCACACACGTATTATACTTTACTTTATTCAACCACACACGTAATATGCTTTACTTTAATTTTTATACGATGAATGGTGATAATGATTGAGATATTCTCCAACCATTCATGCGCTAAGACTGTCAAAATCCAATCAGACTTCTCGACCAAAACATAAATAATGTATTACTAGGGTTTTATATAGTGTAAATTTGATCCGATTTGAATTACTTACTGAAAATTGGCTACTCACGTAAATTAATATACTCCGATCAGTGATCTCTGATCCGGGAAAATTATGAACAACAAAACCAAAATTGCTGAATAGAATACCTTTTATTTTAAAAAAAACCGATAATTACGTAATTAACAAAATAATTTGGAGAACAACCTAAGGGCAATGATAACGAAGATTGCTCATTTACGTTTTTGTTTAAAGTTTCACTTAAATTGACGATGTTGGAATGTATTTTTATTTGCTAGAACAAGCTATACGGACGAGAGGCCTTTGGCTTCGATTTTTGTTCTTCAGTTTGGCTAGCCGTTTTGCTTATCTGTACTATAAGGGTTTCAATGGTTTCGTAGCATTGTCTTCATCATCGTTTTTTGGGTTGTTGAGATAGTTTACCTCTTGACATAGGCGTAAACGTCGCCATCAAGAATCAACTACTTAGAGCTCTACTAACCCGGACAGACAATCTGGTAAAAATTTATAGTTTGGATAAGGTAAACTCTAGGTATACCTTTTCATTTTTTGAAATCTCTCAGTTTTTAAAATAGGAATTTCAAAAAAATATACTAACAATGTATTTCTTCCTAAAAGAAAACTACTTGTTTTCTCTTGAGTTTTTAGACTCCATGTTTCAGGGGAGCAACTTGGCTTATAAGACAAATTATTAGCACTACATCCACGTATAGTAATTTGAACAGGATATTCACATTTACATAATTTACAACATAATCTCACACCTACAAGACTGATATAACATTTCCATCATTAAAATTTATAAGATTTTGGAATATATTTCAAAAAAATTATCATTTCCTAAATGTGACTAGAAGGAAAATTACTCAAACATTATATAGACCATGTCGTGATCTAAAGAAGACTGAGCAACCTGATCGGAAGTAAGAGTAAATGCATCTTGTAAAATACCAACAACCGTACAAAACACTTGGTTTCGAGAACCGCATAAAGCCTACCCATTTCCCAGTTTGTATTTCGCCAATATAAACCAAAAACGATATATTTGTCTTTTCATGAATTTTTCTGCTCGAACAAAGGTATGAACTCTGTCTTAGGCTACGAATGACAATGTGATCTGGCTCCGATGCGGTGACCCTAATCGGAGAGTATAACAAACCGTATCATTGATTAGGCACATCGCACCAAAAATAGTAAAATGTGCTCTGAACAACACATGTAA